CGTGTTCCTCCAAAAGTGGGGTATTTTAAGTGGGTATAACTACAACCCCAAAGACCCCCCCACCAGAGTCGGGGGGGGGGAATTTGTGGGGGGTTGAAGCCTACACATCTTAAAGTTCCCAAGGTTGAGAAGCACTGGCCTAGAGACACCTGCTAGCACAGTTAGAAAAGTCTTGCATTCATCTTAAAATAACACCACCTTATTTCCAAATCTTAATCATAATACCAAAAAGGAAAACATGTGAAGTTCTTAATATTTACTTATTTTTAATATGGTTCCATTTAAATCCAGAAGTCACCATGTATTTCAAGGAGAGAACCTTCTTCACTGCACAGTGTTCCTAGACTTTATTCCTCATCCTGATGTCCACATGAAAACCTTAGCTACTGTTTTTAAGAGGAATCAATCTGTTGCTGTTCTGAACATTGAAGCATGTTTCTTCTTTGCCTTTCCACTGAAGAAATTAAAATACTTCTTGCCTAAAATCTTTGAGCCTTGGGATTTAGTTCTATATTTCTTTTACTTTGGTATCACAAACAGAGGAAATGAAAAACCACATCTACCTGTTCCAACCACACTCCAGATTCTTCATCTGGAGACCACAGGATCACAGTTTTGTCCATTGAAGCAGATAGCAACCTCATTGGCTGTTCCATCCTGCCATCTACAGTATCAGGAAAAAATATCCTCATATAGTATGATATGTTTTCATTCATTTTTATCAAATATAGTTTTTTATCACATCTGAAGAAAAGCAAAAAGTTTAAATAGGAACTCTACAAGGACACCACACAGAACAACTATACATGGCTAAAGTTGGAAGAAAGCTCTCAATTTACAATGTCCTCAAATATGTGCATGGACAAAAATTGTGTAAACTGAATCCTAGATATTGTGAATCTTCAGTGGCTGTTTTACAGGATTATGTTTACAGATTGTGAGTCTTTTAATCAAATTGCACAAAATTCAGCCCTGGTCCTGAGGGAAGAACATAATCTTGCCCAAAGAATCAAATATTATTGTCTCTCCCCTGTAATTAAATGCTACCAGATGCATACAAAATGACTTCATATACTTTACTTCCCAACCTCTGGTGCACAACATCGACTCCCACATAGGGTGGAAAAAAACATGATGTGATATGTCATATCACACATTTTAAATTTCACATGCTATGGGACAGAAGGGGGAACTCAGCATCGAGTTCTCCATTTTGGCAACAAATTCCACATTCCTTGTCATATCTATCAGTAGCCCAAATTGGAAATCAAATACTTCTTCCTACCTTTGAAACATGGTGGCTGCCAATGAATTCCATATACCCAGTTTTCATGGCCAGCTAGCACTGAGTCCAAGGTAACTGCAAAAGATTTATCTACACCTATCACAAAATAAAGTAAGCAAAAAAGAGAGTGAAAAAAAATATTCCAGGCTGTTTTTAAAAGCACCAAGAATGGAGTTCACCTTCTTTGTATTTGAAACTAGATGTACCAGGGTAATAGCTTACTATCAGAGAGTCCCACGCAGCAGGTTGCAAGAGAATTCTGTTACATTTGTTGAAATCAATCAGAATGGAAAGCAAGTGTCAAAGAGTAAATTAATTGTCAAGACTTATCTAGCCATTGTATTAATGACTCAGCCTTGCAAATAATCATATGACAAAAAATTTATGACCTTGTGCCTGTGAATTCATCTGTGAAAAAAAGATATGATGGAACCAGAAGGCTTCTGTACATCCAAGATGCTGGAGGCAAATACATATTTCACACATAGACAAAATGTAACACACCTATGACATGGAAAGAAAAAACTGTATGCTCATTCACTATATTCAGGTGGATGTAATAATTTCTATTCAATTTATAGAAGACATTAATGTAAAGAATATATCACACCAAAATTAAATTCATGTGCAGAAATAGATATCTGTGATGTCATGGGGGCACCAATCAAGTTAGTTGAAAGAAAACACAGTGAAACCCACCCTGTTTCAGCTAATTAATAGCACACTCTTCCACAATACATTAGAAGAATGAGAAATCTTCTCTTCTACTTAACCATGCTACAAACATTTTTATAGAAAAATCCAATATAAAATAACAGATTTACCATCATTATTTTTTATGGTGAAAACATTCTCTTTCAACCTAATAGTATCCTCATCTTGGACTTCCCCAAACAAGGAAGTTACATGCATCTTCCAGATTCTTATCAGACAATCCTGAGCACAGCTTGCCAGATACAGGTCTCCATCTTAAAAAAGAAAAGTTAAACCACTCATTGAAGAAAGAGTTTAAGGTGGAAATTCAGTGCCCCAAAGAAATCAATATTTACAATGGTTAGTTGCTAAACAAAACTGGAACTTTACTCTTTGCAATGGTTCATGTCTCCAAATTACATTATATTATCATGTTAACTAGGAAGTTAAGTAGGAAGTGCCTATTACCCTTCAGGCCCCCATGAGCGTCTTACACAGGGTTTCTCAACCTTGGCAACTTTAAGATGAGTTGAAGTCCACACATCTTAAAGTTACTAAGGGTTGAAAAACACTGCTCTTACAGATAGAAAGAGAAGGCTCATATCTTTGATAAATGGAGAAAAAAAGCATAACTATTTCTATGATATGAGCAATAGTTTCTAGTGATTGTATATATTCTGATGTTTCATGAAAGAGCAGAAAAAACAAAAAAAGTGACAACCAATACAGAATTCAGTTTCTCAAGAACCTCAGTATTATTTCAAAATACGTTAAGTGCCTAGCTTTTATGGCTGCAAAACTTGAGAAATCCCCCCTGAAATCTCATAAACCAGATTGAATGTGATTTACCACAAATTGCCCATTCAACTCCTCTTATCCAATCTTCATGTCCATATAGTAGTAAAGATTTCTGAAACTGAAACAAGTAAGGATCCTCAATATAAACATATCTATTGCAATTTTCCCCATTGTAGTTTGGGGGTTCTCTAACATGTAACTTTGCTGCTAGACACAAAAGTAGCTTTGGTGCAACAGGGCCTTTTTGCAGCTTTTCTGCTTTTCCTGCTTTATTAGTCTGACCATAGATATCTCTATCTTAGTAAAACTCCTGACTGGATTATTGCAGATTCCCTGATCTCAGTCCCCCAAATGTGTTGCAAGTGCAACACCAAGGCTTTCATTCCTCATATGGATCAGAATTCAGAGTGTTCCTATATACCTTCATACATCTGGAGGGTGTCAAGCTGGGAGCTACTACAGTGTGTTTTGCACAAGCTTGCTTTGGAGCGCAATGCAACTGCTTAATTCTGACTGGCACTCACTTCTATCCTGTATTGGTAGAGCTGCATATGCTTCCTAGAGTTGCCCACATGCATCCAAGACCCCATGGAAGCTTTTTTTTCTCAGTAGTTCTGTTACTTCCTGAGCTGGCAATTCCAGTCAATGTGCACGGGGAAACCGCCGTGCCCATAGTTGTTTCTATGTGGGGTGCCACAGGGCTCAGCAACCTTTCTCATGCAATTTAATATTTATGTTAAAATGCTGAGGGAGGTCACTAAGTATTTGAGGTAAAGTATTATCAGTGTGCTTATGATACCCTGCTGTACGCAGCCACTCCAGGCTCTACCAGGGACGCTATCAAAGTCCTGAACCAGTACATGGAGGCTGTGAAGTATTTTAGGCAGCAAAGCTGCACAACTGCCTCAGTTCATATCAGGCCAATCTCTGGCTGAAGTAGAGGACTGGAAATGCAGCGGGAGTCATTACATCTAACAAGGCCTTTAGCCCCATCTCCTTCCCTTCTCCAGGTTCTCCTCTGGAGAAAAACAAATTAACCTCTATTTAACAGTGGAATCCTAATAGATTAACCTGATATCAACAAATGAGCCTGCTTCTAAACAGCTTTCCTTAGGCATGAACATGGCTGATTGGTTATCAAATCAAAGCCTTCTAACAGCTGAAGATTGTTATTGTCAAGAAATACTATCTCTGAAAAACCAGAGATTTCAAACTTCCCTGAACTTGAGTCTCAGGAATTAAGCAGGGTATAAAACTTTGTAGAAATAAATAAACCAAAAAAAGAAATACCACAAGAAAAATCCTGTAGACTAAGAAGCAGAAACAATAGCTACCTCTCCAGCCTGTTGTACATATAAATGAATTCTGCAGTCATCACCACCACAAGCCAGTACTGGTACTGAAACAAAAGAAAACAGAAACAAGATGATGCGTTTATGGAAGAGGAAATGACAGCTAGTAGTAAATCCCATTCAAACTCTGTGGAATTTACTTCTGAGCAGATATGCATAAGCTTACACTACAAGGCAACAATTGTATACCTATTAGGACTAGGCAACACTTTGGATTCAGTTCAATTTCAAAAAGGCGAAAGCTTTCTTTAAAGCACCTTCATCTTTCCCCTGAACTGTATGGTAGCTGTGGAGGACTGTTGTGCCATGCTTGGAAAAGAAAAGGCTGCTTTAAAGAACTGCAGCCAGTACAACATTCAAGTTCCTGCATGCTCCAAGGGACTTTTTGGAACTAAATCAAAAACACCACATAGACCCCATACCTGGAGATATATCCCACCAAACTCAATAGGAACTTCAAAGATGTGATGTAGTAGTTCATATGTGGGAGTCTGAGAGGAAGGTCCCGAGTTCTACGCCACCATCAGCCACAAAAGCTCACTGGGTGACTCTGGGTCCATCATTCTCATTCTCTCTCCTATTACACAGGACCGTTATTAAGAGGAATAATAGGAAGAGGGAACACTATGTATGCTGCTTTGAGCTCTTGACAGACAGGACATAAATCCAATAAATAAGGACTGCATTGTACAGTTTTATTAAACAGATTCAAGAAACTCAGTCTTAAATAAGTGTCAAGTCACACAAAAGTCCAAGGACAGGCCATAAAATGTGCAATAAACTTAACAAACTAAAAACCTAACTCTTTAGAGTTTTTCCCCCAACAACAACAAAAGATCAAAATATCTTGCTCTAAATCTCCATCTTAACTACTTCATTTTAGTGTGACTTCAAGAGGTTTTAAAAAAGGAGGTGACAGGCTACCTACCCAGTGAATCAAAATAGGTAAAGATCAATCATGTCTACCGTAGCAATTTATAGGATCAGATATTAGAAAACTAGCTCTTAAAAAGACAACAGGCACGTGCACTGGCACTGTTAGGTATTTCTTCCAATGATTAAAAAAATTACATAGCCACTCTTACTGTCATTGCCTGGCAAGAAGGACAACGAAACATCCATGACAAATCCATTTCCAAACAACAATGTCTGAAGGCATTTAACTAAGGAGGAGAAAAAAATAAGGTTGCATTATACACAGTGATCACTGCAGAGATATTTAATAAAAAACCACAGAAATTAGGTACTAATTATTAGATTCAAAGGCAAAAATGTGCTTCACAGCACAAATGTAACACCCTGTCTCCAACTCCTTAAAGCAGCTGAGCCTTTCCCCATGGCTGCACAGCTGTCACATGATCCCTCAAAAATGCATTTGGTTTAAGGAGTTGCAGACAGATACTACACGTGTATCTTCATGTGCTCTGAAGCACCTTTTTGCCTTTGAATCTGAAGTATTACACAGCTTTGCTATCTGTAGTTATAATGAAATTCAAAATTTACCCAAGACTAATGTGAAGAGTTATACAACCCAGAGAAAATCAACAACAGAGAAGCTGGTTTTAGTCAAGAAAAGATGATAAAGAGAAGTCAGAAGGCATCACAGTATACAAAGGAGTTTATGACTGCAATGGTGATCCTTATTTATCCACAGTACCTGATTTTTAAGAGATATAATGCCCTTGAATAGCAATTGGACTGATGCTAACTTATTTTCTATAGATGCTTGTGACTCTAACCCACAGTGATTTAGCCAGATTATAATGACAAAGATTTAAAGGGTATCTCTTTTTTATTCATCTATAACAAACAGCTTTCTAGACAGCAAGGTCTGAAGGGGACTTTAGTCACAGATGTTTAGAAACTGGTTCATATGGATGTGTATGAACTTTACTTATTTATTCTTTGCATAACAACTAAGCTGTATTTCCATGGCAGTAACAAAAAAGAATAAAACAAATATGGAAGTATTTCAACAAATCTGAAATATGGTCAAAATATGAAGTATGATGATAAAAGCACTAACATCTGTTCTAAACCAGCTGCTACAATCTGTAAAATGTAGATTATTGCAAAAATAGGAAGGGAGGGTCTCTGCCAGAAATGGTCTATATTTTTGCAAGGAGGGCATTTAAAAATGCTGATCCCATATATTCATGCATCTCTGCCTGGTTGGGGATGGGGCCTATCAGCCAAGCAGTGCAGGGAGATTCACTGGGGGGAAGGGGGGGAAATTTCACCTTTCCTTCTCTCCAACTCTTAATTAAGTCCTCCCCAGCTGCTATCTAGCTTCAAGTCTATGCAAAGTCAAAGAAGTTGATTGGAAGACTTTGGGCTAGAGCCTTCTCTCAGCCTAACAAGGTTATTGTACTGGGGGTAAAACTGGGAAGGGGTTAGGTGGAATATAAATTTAATAAAAAGATAGATAATAGACTGCAGAAGCAAGCTGGAATATGGGGGGCATTACTTAAGATACTGTTTGATACAAGTTACCTTCTGTTCCTTGTCTGGACCAGATTTTGACAGTAGAATCTGAAGCTGCAGAAGCTATTAATAGATTTGATCCTATTGTGGATTCATTTGTCATGTAAACAGCATCTATGGCACAAATTGCTTCAGTGTGACCTTCAAGGTGAACATCATTCACAAGCTAAACAGAAAATTATGAGATTACAAAGAAGAATAACCCTGAAATTGAAACCACATTGTCATGCAATTGTACAATTTTCAGCTTTGTGCAGTCATGGAAATAACTGGAATGTTATACAACTGTCACAGGGAAGTTTGAGCAGAAAGAATAAGTAGCTCTATAACTGTGTGCTCAATTTTTTCACTGAATTAGAAGTCATGTACCCTAAACAGCTTTCTATTTGCAATTTATATTAGGCAGTGTTTGGGTAAAAACTAAAATTTTATTGTGTTAAAAAAAAAGATCCTTATTTCGATACCTTTCTGCAGCTATTCTAAAAGTTCTGATAGAATATTAAATGAATTAAAGGGTTCAGGTAAATTGAACAAAAATGTATTTGATAAAAAGTTTTAAGCAGAAAACAACAGAACTGATTTCCTGATTAATAATAATAATCTTAGGCCAAATGTTGGCTAAGTCATTTAATGTAGCTTCAGAGAGCTTCCTAGGTGCCATCTAGTTAAACTGTGCCTTTTTAATAAAACCTTAATTTCTTTTTAAAAACTAAGTACTTCTCTTCCACCAGTTAATGATATACAGGAATGTTTTTGGGTGAGTGCATGCATGTGAGGAGTTTTGCAATTGCATAATATTTTTCCAATCATATATTACATATTACCATAGGAGACAATATTATTTATTTATAT